ATTTGGCTTGAATGTGTCCATATTTTCCACACTTGTAGCATCTTCCATCATTTTTATCATTATCATTGTTCATCTTCCCTTTTCTGAAGTTTGATTTACCTCTCTTGCTAAGTCTGTTTTTTCTCATCATGCTTGTTATAACTTTGGAGAGCATAGCTATGTTTTTATCTTGTTTTCCTCCTTCCTCTTCTTTTTCATTTTTTGATTCAGCCACAGTTGCTTTGAATGCAACTGTCTTCTTCGTTTCTTGTTGAACCTGCATGTTTAAGTGTGTTTTCTCAAACGCAATTAGATCACCTCTAAGTTCATCATAGGACATTTTATCAAGATCCTGATATTTCAGTGCAATGACTTTGGGCTGCCAGATTGTGGGAAGACTTCTCAGAATTTTTCTGACTTGTTCCCCACTCTTGATTGGTCTACCAAATAATTTTAAATCTCCAATGATTTTGCTGAACCTAGAAAATATTTCCTCCACTGATTCTCCATCCTTCATTTGAACCAATTCATAGTCTCAAACTAGGAGATTTATCCTTGTTTCTTTTACTTTGTTTATTCCTTCATATGTGACTTCTAACTTATCTCACATTTTCTTTGTAGTTTCACAGCATGATATTATTTCGTATTCTTCCCTGCTGATAGCATTGTACAACAGATTCTTTACCTTGGTATTCACTTGAATAACGACTGATTATTCTTTAATATAATAATCTAAATCAAGAGGATCAGATGATTCTATGATTTGACCGTTTGCATCCTTCTTTGGTGGAATTGGAAGATTTCCCTTTTTGATAACACGCCAAACATTAATGTCATATGCCATATTGTAGGTCTCCATGCACACTTTCCAGTGAGAGAAGTACTGGCCATTGAAGTATGGGGTTGTACTTGAGATGTTCCTTCTTGAAATAGTGCTCCAATGACTGTATTTCATGCCATGATCTTTTCCTCACTTGCTGTTAAGTAATATTCGTGAGTCCTGTTCTGATACCAATTGAAAGTACATGGGGGAGGGGGGGAGGGGGGTGAATTGTAACCGATTAAAAAATCTTAGTTGAGTAAGTATGAATTTAGTCGACTAGACTTTGCACAGTAATTTATTTCAGTAGAGATAAACTAAATGAACAGAAAGGTAAAGAAGACACACCAGTTTTTATACCGGTTCAGTACCGGTGTGGTACCTACGTCCAGTTCCCTTGGGTCACAAAGGTTCTCTTAGATCTTTGATGAATGTTTATAGCAGTAATGGTTTTAGTACGTTCACCACCAATAGCGACATTGATTCTTTCCAATGTTGACACAACTCTCATTTTGTGTTCTAACTCTTCCTATCTTTTGTGATACTTGTAAACTCAAGAATACAGTATTTTGTACTAAGAACTAAAAAGGCTTAGAAACAGATGATGTAGTTGCATGCTTTGAATGTTCTTGTGCTTCTTTCTTTATAACTTGATGAGTCTTTTATTTCCTTGTCTTCTGGATTGTATTACAACAATTCTAGGGGTCCTTTCCTTGTGAGGCATATGCATCTAAGAGAAAGACCCATGGGTTGCCTCATGAATCTAGCTTGAAATGGTAGTTAGATTCATCCTTAATCTTGTCGGGTTGCTTCCTTCATTCCTCCTTGATTTGAGTTTCTGCAGAATTTTCTGGATTTGATCTCTGGCCTTGATTAGCTCTCTTCCCATTCTCGCGTGCTTGAGAATCTTTGACAAGGCTAACTAATCACTTTCCTTCTTTGTTCTTTGACCGATTCATTCATTTTCCATGTAAAGTAAAGTTCAAAATACATAGCCGTTGAGTAGGATCTTCTTTCCAAATATGCATACAAAGATATGTATCTTCTTTCCAAATTTGCATACAAAGATATGTCATTAGTCAAGGCTTCTTTTAGATTATTGATCATTATTAAAATTCTAAATTTAACAACTTTGTCGTTGCTCCAGGTCTCCGGTCAGAAACCTTACAGAAGTAACCGTAATAAATAAATATGTACACGTTCCATCTTGACTCTTATTTATCTAAATTGTTACTTGAATGAGTAAAAATTCTGTCGTGGTCGGAAATTAACAATGTCCAAAGCGACACGATATGAATGGAACTGTAAGGAGTAAATTACATTTGAGCTTCTATTAAATGAAGATTATAGAAACCAACTAACTGTAGTAGTATTAAAAACAGGAATTATAACTCTTTCCTGAAGAGAGTTATAACATCTACAACATTAGCAAGTTTCAAAATTAATAGGCAGGTAGGGTCTGTCTATTCCCCTTACCTTTTTTTTTTTCCCCCGGAGGTGACTATCCCCCTTTATTTAAAAAAAAATAGCAATGTTAAATAAATTAGATGTTTAGATGAAGAGATGGATGTGTGGAGACTATCTTACAGGGTTCAAGAACCCAGTATATCTTTGTGAAATATTTTTTTCACGAGCATAAAATATGTGAAAAAATCTTTAAAATTCTAATAATAAATAATAAATTCTTAACTCATGATCTATCATTTTCAAAAATTACAATAAGTTTAGTATTAACGAACTTTAAAGTTGAATTAATTAAAGTTAAATCTCGAATCCATTAAAATTAAATCTTGAATCTTCCTCAGCTTAGATGCATTGTTAAGACCAGCCAGTACCTTTCTGTTGAGTAATCAACTGCAACGGTCCTTTGATCTTCGACCAATATTTCGTGAATGAATATATGATAGTTGAGCAAATTGGAGAAAATAAAAGAAAACAAACGGGTAGAATACGAAGAAAACAAATAAAGTTGGAGAAATAAATATATCATCCGCAATGTATAAACTAATTTAGGATCCTTTTCGCATTATTTTTCTAGAAGGATTTAAACCAATATTTCCATTATATATACAGTATATGAATAGCGCCTTTACGGTTCACAAAATTGCACCCCTTATCCCTAAGTGATTGGTCTTTAAATATTGTTTCTATTTTTTATTTTGTTACAACAATAAGCTTCTTCTTCACCAAGAACATCATAGTTTTCAGTTTGAAAGCTTTAAATTCTTTTTTGGGGGTAGGAAATGAAAGTTAATGACAGATATTGTTAAAATTATTTGAATATTGATAATTTATGATTAAATATTTTAAATATTGATCTAGTGATTTACTTTAAAAATTTCAAAACTTCATTGTTGGTCCTTAAAAAGTGTTGAAGAAATTGGAGATTCGATATTTGTCGTGTTGGTATTTGGACATTTTATTTCAAATTTGACATCATTTGGAGCAGATTTGGGTTGGTTTGATCGAAATTGAAATTGCAATTTCAAAGAATACTTTGTTGTACAATACAAAAAATTATGCCGATTAGCTAGACTTTGATAAATAATTTAGCAGATATGTCACCTACAGATAATACAAAGTCATGCAAATCTGTTAGATTTTGATGAATAATTGAACAATCACAAAATCATACCAACTGGGTAGAGTTTGTGAACAATCTAACAAATAGGTGGAATGCAACTAACACAAATATTACTATAAAAGAATTAGGGATATACAAATTTTGTAGCTAAACACAAAATTTATCGCTAATTAATCCTATTTAGCGATAGATTAGCGATAACTTATCAAGAAATGTTGTTAGTTATGAGCTATTTAGCGATAGATAAACGATGAAGTTCGTAACTAATTCTATTTTTTTAGTAGTAAAAGTCATGTCAATATGGTAGAATTTGGTGAATAGTTGAACAATCACAAAGTTATGCCAACTCGATAGAGTTTATGAGCAATTAACAATATTAATAAAGTAAATATAGCATAAAACTCACCAATTCGATAGAAAAATCCCTGACAAGCAATGAGTGTGTGGGTGTGTGCAGGGGGAGTCATTTTCTAACTACTTAAAAAAAAAAAAGGGACAATATTTAAAGATTAGTCTTTTAAAGGGCCATTTGAGTCAATCACCCCTTTAGGTTTATGGAATAATTTGGTAATATTGGTTTTAACTTGTAAGTGGAGTGGAATTCTGTTGTTCCACCCGGCCCAATCGGGCACAGTCCAACTCAATGCGAACCATAACTAGTTAACTACCCCTTTTAACAATTGAGAATCTCACCCAACTACATATTCTATTCAATGAACTCCTGATTAAGATATACTCCTATTTCCTATTAAACAAAATCTAATGACTTTTTACCTCATCCAAAAATCAAGATTATTAGGATTTTGCTAAAGAGCTCAACTTGCTCTAGGATTTCATTAATAGTACTAATTAAACATCCAATAAGCCCCCTTAACTCTCTTATATGACACATATACTGACGTGTATAAGATTGCACAAAATTATTTAGTATTTTTTTATTTATCTTTTTCGTCTTGTTGCTCAAATAAATCATGAGTTTAACTTAAATACACATGATAATATAAATGATAATTGCATGTAACTATCCTTAGATAACGGGATTAGTAATCAATTTAACACCATCAATGTATATAAATTAATATTCTTAATATTACGCACCAAGTATATAACGATACACACACCTACACTATATATATGCATGTGTCCCACTTCCATTACTGCTCAAACTCTCATTGTGTCCGGTATATATAGAGTGAATTCTCTTGAATCCAATTCAATTCATTCATTTATTGATCACCTCCTCTCCTCTTCTTGCTTCTTCTCTTCCTATGAACAAAAGGAATGTGTAGAAACATTTAACACCACATCTATATCTATACCTTAATTCCTACCCACATCTTTCTAATTAATTAACTCCCTCTCTCTTTGTGTGGTGTCTCTATTTGATTGAATGAATGCTGATTTTAACTCTTAATTCATTCACACAAAGTGGATAAGTATCTCCTAATTCGCTCCACTTCTTTAGGGGCTCAGTCTCCTAATTTTTCTGGATAATATTTGAGACTTAGTCTCANTTGGAAAGTTGCTGCCTGCACACGCTACTGTGCAGAACAGTGCTGTAGTCAACCTTCCAGGGAAGACTTTTTACTTAGCTTGCTTGCATCATTGTCNAGCTGTTTTCCCTATATTCCGCAATTCTTGAAATAGAACAAAAGGAAGAAAAACCAAGAAACAGTTAGATATAGTTACTCACTCAAAATCTATTAATATCCTCATCCTTTGTTTAACTACTACTTGTGTTACCTAGTGTGTTTCATGGACTACTTGAGAGAAATAGAAGGTAAAAGATCTCATGATCCTTATTTCATGAACAAAATGAAGAGATGTGTATTTGTTAAGGGGCCAGTTATTGTAGGAGCAGGGCCTTCTGGATTAGCGGCTGCAGCATGTTTAAAAGAAAAGGGAATTCCAAGTCTGGTATTAGAGAGATCTAATTGCATAGCTTCTTTATGGCAACTCAAGACTTATGATCGTCTTCGTCTTCATTTGCCTAAGCAATTCTGTGAACTACCACTCATGTCATTTCCTATTGATTTCCCTACTTACCCTACAAAGCAACAGTTTATTAAGTACTTGGAACACTATGCCAAGACGTTTGATATTAGGCCTGTTTTTAATCAATCCGTGGTATGTGCTAATTATGACCGGAATCTCGGGTTTTGGAGAGTAAAGACAGAAACAAGGACGACGACGACGACAACAACAACGGAGTATGTTAGCCGATGGTTGATCGTGGCGACGGGGGAGAATGCGGAGGCAGTGGTACCTAGAATTGAAGGAATGGAGGAATTTGGAGGGAGTATAATGCATACAAGCTTGTATAAAAGTGGGGAGATATTTAGAGGGAAAAAAGTGTTGGTAGTTGGATGTGGGAATTCAGGAATGGAGGTGTGTTTGGATCTGTGTAATCATGATGCAAGCCCTTCACTTGTGGTCAGAGATACTGTAAGTAAACACTCATACTCTTATTCATTCTTTTCTTTTCCTTAGCACTCTCTAAAAGGGAAATAAAAAGAGAAAAGAAAAAGAGAAACAACAAAGCCTACCCTTTATTTTTTTTTTGGGACATATTAAAGCAAATCGATTACAAACTTTTTTATTTTTGTCTCATCAACTCTTTGAAAAATGTTGATGCAAAATAAGGGGAAACATGGTTTTCATTTCTTAACTTTCTGTCAATCTTATTTTAGGAAAAGCTAAACCGCCGCTAGTTTTTATTTTTCTTCAGAATCTTTCTTTTTGAAAAATTCTCCATTTTAGACAGTACATGTTTAATCTTGAAAAGCTTCCTATTATTGTGGAAACAATGAGAAACCCTAGTTTAGTACCCCTACTATTTTCTCGTGGAGTTTGCCGTCCAAATGATCCCATTTTTTCAATTAAAATAAAATGAAATTCTCATCTGTTGCCAGTTCTGAAAGTTAAAAGTTGGAAGTGAGTTCAAGTTCCAACAATATATGATTTGTAAAGCTGGTGATTTAAGTAAAAAGAACAAGAAAAGAAAATCTTGGTTGTGTATTTTTCACTTTCTTGGAACTGCCAGGCATGCGCAATATTGGTGGGATTTTTGTTTTCCATAATAAATAAAAATAATTGATTCCAGTAAATTCATCACTGGCACAAAGGAAGCTTTTCTTAGCAACCTACCTAAAAGTGAAAAGTCCAGTTATTGGCCATTCCTCCAGAATGGCAAGTTGAAGTTCCCATCAATATAATTCATTCATCATCTTTTAACACTATCTCCCAACTTTAATTATGCTTTATTTTCTGTAATTTAACCTTTTTCTATTTTTAACTTTTTATACAATTAGTTTTTGACTTTAGTCTTTATTTTTGAAACATTTTAGGTGCACGTCCTACCACGAGAGATGCTGGGGAAATCAACTTTTGGGCTATCGATGTGGTTACTAAAGTGGTTGCCCATACGACTTGTTGATCGATTTCTGTTGATTATATCTCGGTTATTGCTCGGCGACACAGCTCGACTCGGCTTGGATCGGCCTGAAATTGGACCCTTAGAGCTAAAAAACTTGTCCGGAAAAACACCGGTACTCGACGTTGGGACACTAGCTAAGATTAAAAGCGGAGACATTAGGGTACGTTACTATTTGTCTATGCATTTTGATAAAGAAATATCATGGATTATGTATCAAATCACCTTTTTTCAGTACTTTGTTTGACCTTTTATTTTTATTTTTAATGTTTGTTGGGATCCATCCCATGATCTTTAGGTTTTTCAATCATTGCAAAATATTCCACAAACAGTGAGACAAATTCTCCAGCTTTGCCCCAACAATTCACTTATCAAATACTTTACTTACCTATCCTACTAGCACCATTTCAAATTAATTACCCGTCCCCCTACCCTTATCAATGAACTTAATTAGGTTGTAATGGACTTTGGAATTAATCAAATAAATAGGACTTTAACCCTATATATGATCATGTTATATATGTTATTAAAATTTTCTTATTTACAAATGTGTAGGTATGTCCTGGAATTAGGGCATTGAAATATCAAAAGGTGGAATTTGAGAATGGGCAAACGGAAAATTTTGATGCAATAATCTTGGCAACTGGTTACAAAAGCAATGTGCCCTCTTGGCTAAAGGTAGTCACTTTAATTAGTTTTCTTGATTGTTAGGGATGTGTTCAAAGAAGTCACAATAGAGAAAATTAAAGGGTTTTGTTTTGTTTGGTTGCCAGGAAAGAGAGATGTTCTCAGAGAAAGATGGTCTACCAAAAAGGCCATTTCCCAATGGGTGGAAAGGAGAGTGTGGGCTTTATGCAGTGGGGTTCACTAAACGTGGTTTGCTTGGTGCTTCCATGGATGCCAAGAAAATTGCACAAGACATTCACACTTTTTGGCTAAAAATATAAAAAATGTTGACTACAAAAGAAAGATTACTAGTGTTGGTACCTAAACAAGTTTTCGAACGACAAGGTGAAAGAGGAAAAGAAGATCAACAACTGCCTTGGTTTTGTGGGGATTCATTCATCATCAAAATCTAGTGTATACATCTTGTACATTTTTTTGCCAATTTTCTCTTATTAATTATTAGGTATGCCATTCTTAGGTGGCAAAAAGAAGAGCTAGGCTTTTTTCTTTCTTTCTTTCTTGGTTTGGTTATATGAGTGTTAGATTGCTAATATTCACATGGGTTTTTTGGTTTATGACAACACAACAAAAAAAAGATTATTTTTCTATTTTCCCTCCTTTTATTGTTATTGGTAGAATTGTGAGGTTCGTGAGTTTCCAAATAGGATTTTGGTGTTGTAGGGAGAGGAAATGTAGAGGGAGTATATAATTAAATATGATGGCGAAATTTACGTACCAAAATTCCTAATGATCAGAGACCTGTTCACCATCTTTATGAGTTTCTGCCAATTCTGCTCTGTTGATATGATTTCCCTACTCCAACTAGTAGTTAGGACCACTTGGTTTAATTGATTGATCTGCTTCTACAAAATCTAATTCAAGAAAGATACAAATAAAAACTGAATGATTGAAAAAAAATATTGATCAATCACAATTCTGATGAAAAATTCCTCAAAAAGTTAAGAATTAGTATAGTACAATTATTCCATTAATTTGTCTGGAAAAGCATGATATTTATTTTGTATGAATAGAATAATGAGCCATGATCATGAAAAATAAATAATATTCTCCCTCTCTCTCTCTTTCTTTTTTCCTAATTGAATTTTTTAAAAACATTGTTACAAGTCACATGTATTTCCTTTTCAAATATAATAAACAATATAATGGACCTTTTGCAATCCTCAAATCATATTGAAATGGTCCCCTATTCGTAAGTAAAGACCTTTTGATACAGAATTGAGAACAAAGCAACATATAATTTGCTGATTAGTTGCTTTCAGAATACGCCTTAATTTTTGTTAATTTGTAAATTAAAACAATCACACTATAATTCAAAATTCAAATTTGGCAATCCTTTCACGGTCATAGAATAGGGCTAAGACCTTATGCCTCACGAAACCCTCAAATAATATTACCATCATATTAGTGAGCAGATAATCCTTGCGAAGTGGTGTCACGTGATATCCCTTCATCGATTTTTTATTATATATATATATATATATATATACAAATAATAAGCAAAATAAGAATATTGGTTATTTTCTCAAATATTGACATTGCTTATTAAAAATCTTGCTTATATGCTATTAGTGGTATTTATTATTAATGAAAAGAACGAAATTCAAAACGAGGTAGCTAATTATGCAAAAGCAATTTTATGACAAAAGAAAAAAAAAAGAATAACTACCCATTTGGACATGGATTGTGGCTATTTTTTTTTTTATAAAAAATAATAATTAAAAACATGTTTGTTCATGAAATTTGATTAGTTTTTGAAAAAAAAAAATTTAAAATTCCCAAATCCTGGTTTAGGACAGTTTTTGGGTGAAATTTTTTCTTTCACTCACAAAACTTCAACTTTTTTCAAATAAAATACGTGTCGAAACACAACCCCAACTTCCAAAAACTAATTTTCAACACAATTTCAAATATTATTTTTTCAAGTTTCAAATATATGTCCCTAAATAAAAATCTGCAGATCATGATAAAGAGAAGTACAAGATTTTGAAGAATCAGG